TTAGTGATGATAAAAACTCTGACAATCAGGAATGGGGGATCAGGAGTGGTGCTGATGCAGAAGGAAGCCAGAGGGTGGGGGTGCTGGTGGGAGGAGTAGATTTTCCATCACACCCCCCTGGTGTCCTCTCCTGAAGGACAGATGATCACAATCCAGAATGGGAGGGTCTTTTATTGTGTCTGTTCAACTGAAGGGAAAACGTTGCACAGTCAGAGTAAGAAATAAAAAGGGGAAAATGAGGCAGAAACATGCAGCATACATGCAGATGCTGGTGTACTGTGTGGGTTCAGAGGACAGACTTGGGGCTGAGAGAAGGGATGTAATATGATGCGAGAAGAGAGAGACCACACACAGAGGCCAGGAAAACATCCCAATAGAGCATCAAAGTCCAGGGGGCATGAACCAATCACGTGTCCATTACGCATCAGGTGCCCATGACCTAGATGATGGGATTGAAGACAAAGACACTAAGGAACAGGGAGGACCTCAGGGTTCCATGAGCTCAGCACTCACCGTGGAGGACGTGTCTGTCTCATCAAGCAGCTCTTAACAATGACCTCAACGTGATGCTGCTCATGACTGAGGATCCTGGCATCATTCTCATCGGACACACACTGCCAGCTCTGGCCACCTGGAAGGAGACAGAGGGTGGGACTAGTAGATCCCAAAACAGGAAGACACCCAGAGGGCAGGATGAGGATGTAAAGTGTGAAAAGATACAAAATGTAAGGAGGTGGAGGAGTGGGTGTCTCTCTGGGTGTGGGGCTTACCTGACGGATGGAGGTCTTGAGTCCTCAAGCGTGTAGTAGGTAAAGACAGTGTTCACTTCATCCTCTCCATGTCCATGACTCAGCCAAATAGCTTGGTTGCTAAATAATTGGTCTTTAAAAATCTTTTGGGGTCATTCTCCAACGTGTGCAGAATAGAAAAAATTTTAGTCACCTAAGGTTCATTCCCTGGCTTCCTGGTCAGTTTTCCCAAAGCCTCCACTGCCACCCATGCACCCTGGGTACCCTCCACACGCCCCAAGGTTCCTGATGCACGTGAGAAGGTAAGGAGAGGAAGAATTAGTGGATCGTGGATCGAAGTGCCATTTCCCATCTCCGGAGGTGGCAAGGAGTAGAGTCATAAGCTGGCATTGAAGAGGCCTCTGCCCTCACAGTGTATTTGGTCACCTCATTGCCCAGGCTGAACTCTGAGAAGAGGAACTTGACTGTCTACAGAAACTGATAGTCCTGAGAAGAAATCTATGCAAATACCTGCAGAACAATCACTAAGGTCACCTGAGAGAGTGAGACGGAGATCTGGCCTCAGACTCAAGGTTCTTCTCCAAGACAGAAGCAGCAACCACATGCAAGTCAGAAACTGCGAGAGCCTCTCCAGGAGGCTCAGGGGCCAGCAATGACTCAGCCTGACATCTGTGCCTGGCACTTCCCTTGTATGTCTGGCCGTGGCTTGGAGGGCTTGGGTCTGAAAAGTGGGGGCAAAGGAGGTAGTGTCCAGACAAAGCTTCAATTGCTAGGGGACATGAATATGGTGCCACCATTGTCATTGTTGCCTGATCAAGGTTCTTGTGCCTGAGTCCTGGCACAATCACCTCCCTGTCCCTGGGTGTTGGCTGAGGGAGTGGAAGTGGGGAGGGGAGGGTGGAGATCTGGCAGAGCCACTGTGGGTTTCCTCCTCTCTGACCTAGCAGATCCAGAGCTCACTCAGGCAAGCTGCTCTTCTGTGGAGCCTCTTCTGCCGCCACCCAGTTTCTCCTGTTGTCAGCCTTGCCTGTGTGCCTGTGTATTGAGAAGGGATCGAAGCTGAGAAGCAATCGTCACCAGAGGTCCCACCTTCTACCTCTTCACCCTCAAAAAAGTCATGGAAGACACAATTTCCACTACGCAGTCTTGCACTGTCACTGCTGTGCACCTCCCTGTCCTCACATTCTTTTGTCTTGTTCACCCAGTCCTGGCAGTGGACACAAGGTGGTCGAGTGTGCAGCATCAGCATCAGCGTCACAGCAGGGGGGCAGGTGTGAGTCTTCACACTCACATCTTGACGTCCAGCAGTAAACCTCTCATATTTCAGCTACAAAATGCTTTTTAAACTTTCTTTTTTTTTCCTTTCGCTTTAGTCTTAAGATGTAACCTTGAAATAAACTTTAGAAAATTTTTTCTTTAGTCTTAAAATATAGCCATAGCCTTGAGGTGTACTTGAAGACTGTTTCCCCTCCTCCAAGCACTCCCTTCACCATGACCTCATGACCAACATATGCATGTGTATGTATTATAACTATATTCTTGCTTACAAACTCCAAGTCTAATCTTGAAACAAGCCAGGCATGGAGACCGAGCTGTGGAATTCCCCTCACTTGGAGATCACCTCAAGACAGATGATCTATAATCTGTCCACAGTTGAGATGTTGCCAGCTAGAACTCCAGGTGGACAATATTTCCAGAGAGCCCTTGGAACAAGACATCCAGACCTGCACCCTGTGCTGCTCCTGCATGTTTCCAGTCCAAGATTTCACTTTTAAAACCTTGTCAGCCTAAAAATTTAAGATGGTTTCTTGAGGCTTGAGCCCAGCCCTCTCCTCAACTGCTGCTATTTGAATGAAGCTGCTTTCCTTTCACAACGCACCTCTTGTGAATTTGCCTGTTAAAGCCATCCAGCAGCTGAACCTGAGTTCAGTTATATCCACTTTATCCAGTTACCATGTGACTAAAGGCAAAGAGATTGAATAATTGGTATTTATAAAGGTCAACACCTCCAGCTGTGGTCACTCCACCCATCAGGATGAACAGGGTCACTGGCTGCAGGAATTCCTGTGGATTGCAGGCCACATGTGGGAAACTCAAAATTCACTTGCCACCTGTGCTGCTCTCAGGACTGGGCCGGTCCCCCTGGAGTGAGGCCTCTCCCCACTGCAGACCTGGGGGATCCTCTGAGCTGCTGGTAGTGCAAGGTCTTTTCTGATGGCCAGAGCAGGTCCTGAGGCTCTACCATCCATGCCCAATCGTTCCTGGAGGGTGGAGGTAGGCAGAGGAGGGCAGGAAACAATGCTGGGGTGGATCAGGATGGGTGACTTTTGGGGTTCTGGGGTTCCTTGTGTCCTCCCTGCAGGACCCTCCATGCTCTGGGGGAAGCACCAGCTGTTTCCACAGTGTGCTCTCTGGGTGGAGAACTGCAAGGGTGGCAAGTGTAGAAATCCTCTGCTCCTGGGGTACCTAATCTCAGTACTCTGAGGTGTTTGGCTATGGATTCCAGGACAGGACCCATGTGTCCCCTGTGACCTGCCCTTGCCTATGTCTGTCCAACTGGATGGTGCTGCCGAGGGCTCTGATGCAGGGAAGTGCATTGTGTGCCCCGCGTGGGAGGACGCTTTCTGTCTATCTAGCTGGGCCTCAGGTCTGGGCTGTGAGCCTGAGCTGGGAGAGGAGATGGAAGGAGATGGCCTTGGAGCAGCCATCTGTCTGCCCTTACTAGTGCATCCCGAAGGTATCATCACATCCGCTAGTGCCTTGGAGGGACCCCACTCCCTCAACCCTCCTCTTGGGGTGGTTCCTGGTGATGCCTCCTCAGGAGCTCCTGCCTCCAGCTGTGTGGGAGATTGGTCGGAGTGGTGGCAAAAAACTATAGGGAAAGGAGGCAAACCTGAAAGCTGGAAGGTTCTGTAGAGCCCCAGGGGAGAATAGCTGAAGGCAGCTGTTCTATAACCCTGAGGCAGAGGGCAAGGAGGAGGTAAAAGGGAGTGCAGGGGAATTTATCTGAAACAGGCTTGTTTACTTATGTTGACCAGAAACTGACATTTGATCATCTTTGTGGAGGGAACAATGTTAATTATCTACAGATTGTGTTTGCTCTAGGCTTTCGGCATTGGCCTGCACTGAATAAAAGCAAGCAGCTCCAGCTTCTGGAGGATGCTCTCTGGCCACTAGAGCCAGGCAGTCACCTAGCTGCTCTTACACTGCATACCTGTGTCTGAGTACTCATTTCATTCATCGGCCAGGGTGTGTGGGACAGACCAGGCACAGCTACACAAATCCCTGAGAATGGCACATGGCTGTGAGGATGCCAGGAACTGCCATTCTCCAGTGCTGACTTGAGAGAGAGAGTGTGTGTGTGTGCGCGCGCGCACAAGTGTGTGCATATGCATGGGTGGGAATGGTAGTATGTGTGTGCATGTGTGTAAGCATCAGTGTGGAAGTGGAGCATGAGTGTGTGCATGCCCACAGGCAGCAGTGGGAGCGCCAGGGTCCTCACTCCTCCCTGCATTGCTTTCTCTCCAAAATGTGACCACACAGCAGCTTGGCCATCATCTAGGTTTAAGTGTATTAAAGAGAAGGGAAACACAACTAGGACTCCAGGCTCAGCCTGGAGATGTGCGAGGCCTCCGACCTGGAGCAGCACCTGCCCCTAAAGACTGGGCACAAATCACAGCACAAGGGATCCAGACAAATAGACAAGAAGTGACCACAGCAGGAACTTTACTGAGCACAGAGCGAGGCCGCATACCACTCTGCACCTGCCCCTCCACCCGCCCTTCTCTCCCCACCTGCCCCTGCCTCAGCACAGCAGATCCTCAGAATCTGAAAACAGAACCTGACTTCCATGTTTTATTAATAGATGGTAATATTTCACCGCATCTTCATAGAAAGGATATGAGAAAAGTAACTAACAGAACAAGACATCTATTTAGTGTAAGTGAGTGACAGGGGAGATGGGGGAAGGAGACACTGACACTCTTTCATTCCTAGAAAAGGAGGGTTGATCTAGGGAAGGGGACCCCAGGCCTAGACACCGGGATTAGGTGGAAGGGGTTCTTGGGCATCTGTGTAATTGGCTCCTCTCCCCAACCCATCCTCCCTATAATATGCTTGGAAGGAGACAGAGCTTATCAGCTAAGCAGTTAGGGGAAGAGAAGCAGCGGTCCACAGAGAGACAAGGGAGGTGAGAAGAATCTGTGTCTTGCTGGTGCACAAAGCAGCTCTCAAACTGTGGAGAATACGGTAATGACCATATTCAGCTCAGCCACTCTCAGCCTCGACACCCGGAGCATTATTGGCAGTCCGTCCCCATCCCCTACCTTTAAATCCAAAGATCTCCCACAGCCCAAAGCTGTTCCACTTCAACTCCTGTTGGCATCAGGCCTCAGGAATCATATTTCAGGAAGCTGTGAGGACAGCTTCCCTGACCCTGTCACCACCTGGAGAATGACAACAAAGAGGACCCAGCAGAGCCTGCAGGTGGAAACTGTAATTTTAGGTAGCACTATGAGATGGGGAGGCAGAATCTGTGGCCCCATCCTCTCTATTTCAGGGGTTAGAGACAAGCAGCCCCTGCCACCCCTTCAGTGCTGGAATTTATAGAGTAGACTCCTGCAGAAGTTCTTAGGACAGAAAACCCTGTTAGATGCCAAGGTGGAGAAGGGCCCTGAATATCTTAAATACCTGGTTAACACTGCTAATTAGCTCAGATTTGAAAGTCAAACACAGGGCATAGGAGAGGAGAAAGAGACAGTATGTCACTATGCAGTCACCCTCCTGGACGTATGTTTATAGAGAGGGCCATCACTGCAGGGTGGGGGCACCCAGCATCAAGGTCCTGAGTACAACCACCCTGCTATCATCATCTGTGAATAGGGTTGGACCTGTGTCTTCCTCTAATACAGACAACCAGAGGAATCTATCCAAGTAACATCTGGTACCCTCACATTAATCCTGTATTACTGTTTGATTTAATATTTCGTATCTTATAGAAATGAACCAAATGGAAGGATGATTCCTTTGGTAAAGGTAATTCAGGTGATATGAGAATCAGATTCCTGGGGTTCTGGGTATCTTGTCTTGATGTTTAGAATCCTCAAGGAAGGATACAGGGCGTACAGAACCCAGAAATGGTCACTGAGGCCTGAAGCTCCCTTGTCTGAAGCTCCCTGGTACAAAGGACCCTCCCCTGCACTCTGGAGCTCAGAGGGAACAGCACAGCTGACTCCCAGGGTCTCCAGCCTCCGGCCTGTACTGTCAGCCTGCACTTTCTCAGCCTCCTGGCTGCCAAGCTTCTGGTTCCCAGCAGCCTCCTCTCTTACCCTTCAACTCTTCTGATTGGGGCCATTGGCCACTTGACAGGCAGTGCCCTCCTTGTCAGTCTGCCTGGCTCCCTCTCAGGTTTGTGACTTGACTGGGTTCACCATCCCCAGCTCCAGCAGGGAACCAGGAGAAGTGACCCGGCCAGTCCCCCAATAGCAGTCAGATCCCTACATGTGAGATGGGGTGAGGCCTTCATCCCAGTTCCCCCCATGCCTGAGAACTTCTTGCACATCACAGGTCCAAGCACCAGAGCAGGAAGTAGCTCTGTGTCAGAAATGGTTTCCATGGTGGTGAGGATGAGTTGAAAAAGGGGTTCCGAGAAAGGAATGAAAGGGACCTGGGCCTTCAAGTCAAAACCCTGACCCTGACACAGAACAGCTCCTGCTCTGCAGGTTCCGTGAAAGGGTTTCCACTCCCACTCACGTCTTTACTCACCTCAGTGTAAGAGGCCTGAGCAGCCCCTCATGCTGCACAGCTATGGGGATCCCTGCCCCTCCCCAGAAGGCACCACCACTGCTGCCCACTTCTGGAAGGTCTCATACCCCTGAGGCCTGAGGTTCCCATGCTGTGCATCTGGGTCTGGTCTTCCCTGTCCCACAGCCAAGTCAGTGTGATCTCTGCTGTGTAGAAGCCCCCAGCCCAGCACCTCAAGGTGACCTTCCCATTAGAACCTGCGTGACGGGTCACAAGTGCTGAGACTGCTCTGAGGAAAGTCAGAAGGCTGAGGCATACTGAGCCATAGACAGTAGGATTCTGTCTATAGGAGAAAATTAAATGAGAATGCCAACTGTCAGCGTCCTGGCCAGAGGTCTTGTAGCAAGCAGTTGGAGACCGCTTGATCCTAAGCCGAGGTTTGCGCAGCTGTCCGGGTCTGTAGGTCGTGGCTCAAGGACATAAACTCTTTCCCGTCGTAGGTAGACTGAAAGTGTCCCCCGACGAAGCTCCCGTCCGGAGCCATCACACAGCCGCGCAGCATCTGCAAGTGCCGGGCCCTGGATCTCCCAGCCTTCAGCTCCAGGCTGGGCAATGGAGGGAAGAGAAGCGGCCCCGCCCCTCCGACATCGCCCGCCCACCTCAGCTCCTATCTCCAGTCCGTGATTGGTTAGAGCAGAAGTCAATCACCATGTAGATTGACGTACAAACCTGGAGTAAAACATCGCGACGGCTCCCCGACCCTTGAGGGGGCAGCGGAGGCCCCGCCCCCTACGCCTGGGAGACCCGGGCCGGTCACTGTGGCGTTGAGGGGAACGCCGGTGCCCGGAGGGTGACACTCACCGGCTGCCCCCGGTGGCGGTGCCGGCTCAGGAGCCTCAGGGCCCTCAGGAACACATTCCCCGCGGCCGTCGAGAACTTTCCTCAGGGCGCCCACAGTCCCGCCCCATCTTCACCCGCTTTGCCCGCGGCTTCACATTCTGATCCTCGCCGCGCCTGTGGAAGCGCAGGAACCCCGTGTCCCCCCCGAAGGCGCCGCGGAGGACCTCAGGGCGCGGCCGGTGGAGGCGGAACCTGGCGGCCCCCAACACCCGAGAGTGCGGGCCTGGGCGCCGGGAACTGGCACGCCGGGGGCGGGAGAGGCGGAGGAAGCCTGGTGCCCCACCCCGCTCCCCTGGGGTCCCCCTCGCCCCCGTCTCCGGATGCGGAAGGGAGCCCGCGCGGTCTCAGCTTCCCGCGCTCCCTCCCACGTCCGGCCCCGCCCAGGAGCGGCTCCCCGGGAGCTTCTCACTGTGTGGTGGGAACTGAGGCGGGGACAGAGGGGCGGGGTCCGGGGGAGGGCGGCGTGGGGCGGCGGCGCCCGGAGAAATGGCCTGAGGAGTGTGCAGACCCCAACCGAGGGCGGAGGCGCCGCGGGAGGAGCTGCTGAGCCCCGCAGGCCGCCCTTTCCCGCCGTCCTCCCTAACCCAGTTGGTCCTGCTCCTCTCCTCGCCAGCCCGGGTCTCCGCAAGGTCAGGGCCCACGGAGCAGCAGGAGGGGGCTCCGGGACGCAGATCCGGCTTCCCTGGGAATGCTGGAATCCAAGGAGGATCCTGGAGATCTCCCACTTTATGAAGCCCATCCGCCACTCACTCTCTAGAACCCGGGACCCAGCAGGAACTAGACAGGACGCTCTCATGAGTCCCTGGGGAAAAGCAAGAGCAAAGGGTGAGAGGTGGCGGTGAGGTCAGGGAAACTCCCGCAGAATTCTCAGGAGAGGTTGGCTTAGTGTGTCTTCCCCGTCCAGCCACCTGTCCCAGAGCTGGAGATGCTCAGGTTTAAGCCAGAAACTGTGTATTTTTCTTGGTGGTGACATAATTCTTGTCCCCTTCTCTCCTGGAAAGAGAGCCCCAGACCATCAAAGTGATCCACTCTGCACACTTTTTTTCTTCCTCTCTATCTGCACTCTCTCTCCCTGAGCTGGACTCGCCACCCACCCTCACATTCCGGAATAGTGCAGTGGTGTGAACGTGGCCCTGGGGCAGGGTTGTCTGGGTGTAAACCCTGCTCCACCACTACTTGTGTGTAACTGTGGTTCCAATCGTATCCTCTGCAAAAGGAAAGAAAACAGTCACAATCCAGAGATGTGCAGGTAGGATTAAGGTAATTAGCATTTCTAAAGTGCTGAAGCACTGATATACATACAGCACAATGACAGTGTATGATATTGTCACTGTTGCTATTTCTTTAGTCCCTTTTGCCTATTTTCTTTCCTTTGGGTTCCCAAAGAAATTTGCCTTGTTGAAGTTGATGTCAGCAAGAGACCTCCATCTGAGAAATGCTGCTTTGTGGTGGGATCTCCCCTTTTTTTTTTTTTTTTTTTTTGAGACGGAGTTTCGCTCTTGTTACCCAGGCTGGAGTGCAATGGCACGATCTCGGCTCACCGCAACCTCCGCCTCCTGAGTTCAAGCAATTCTCCTGCCTCAGCCTCCTGAGTAGCTGGGATTACAGGCACGCGCCACCATGCCCAGCTGATTTTTTGTATTTTTAGTAGAGACGGGGTTTCACCATGTTGACCAGGATGGTCTCGATCTCTTGACCTCGTGATCCACCCGCCTCGGCCTCCCAAAGTGCTGGGATTCCAGGCTTGAGCCACCGCGCCCGGCTGGGATCTCTCTTTTATTAAAGGGAACAGTTGGTGGTGGAACAGCTGGTGAGCCACATAGAATCCAGTTCATGCAAAAAAGGGTTATCTACCTAGGATTAACTCCATTTTAGTAAGGACACACATTTCACACTTCATAAGTCCAAAGTCATTTGGAGGAGATTGCTTTCATTTGCTCATGTAGAATGTTACTCTGCTGTCTTTTAGAGAGACATTATCTGGCTCCTGGAGTGAAGGTGATTAGAAGTATCTTCAGGGGCCGGGCGCGGTGGCTCAAGCCTGTAGTCCCAGCACTTTGGGAGGCTGAGGCGGGTGGATCAAGAAATCGAGACCATCCTGGTCAACATGGTGAAACCCCGTCTCTACTAAAAAATCCAAAAAAAATTAGCTGGGCATGGTGGCGCGTGCTTGTAATCCCAGCTACTCAGGAGGCTGAGGCAGGAGAATTGCCTGAACCCAGGAGGCGGAGGTTGAGGTGAGCCGAGATCGCGCCATTGCACTCCAGCCTGGGTAACAAGCGAAACTCCGTCTCAAAAAAAAAAAAAAAAAAAAAAAAAAAAAAGAAGTATCTTCAGGGACAGGCGTGGTGGTTCACACCTGTAATCTCAGCACTTTGGAAGGCTAAGGCAGGTGGATCACGAGGTCAAGAGTTCAAGACCAACCTGGCCAAGATGGCAGAATGCCATCTCTACAAAATTATAAAAATACAAAAGTTCATTTCTGCTTATGATTGCTTTGGCTATTTGGTGTATTTTATAGTCCACATACATTTTATAATTTTTTTCCTACTTCTGTGAAGAATATTATTGGTAGTTTAATAGGGATTACTTTAAACCTGTAAATTGCTTTGAGTAGTATGAACATTTTAACAATATTAATTCTTCCAATTCATGTGCATGAAATATGTTTTAATTTTTTTCCTTAGAAACAGGTTATCAGTATGTTTTCCAGGCTGGTCTTGAATTCCTGGGCTCAAGCAGTTTTCCCACCTCAGCCTCCCAAACTGCTAGGATTACATGTGAGAGCCATTGCACCGAGCTCTTTCAATTTTGTTTGTGTCTTCAATTTCTTTAATCAGTGTTTTATAGTTTTCATTTTACTTCTTTGGTTAAATTGATTCTTAGGTTTTTTTTCTTCTTTGTGGTTATTGCAAATGGTATTGCTTTCTTGATTTCTTTTTTGGATTGTATGCTGTTGGTGTACATAAATGCTATGGAAGTTTGCATGTTGATTTTGTATCCTGCAAGTTTACTGAATTTATTTAGTTCTAACCATTTATTTGATGAAATCTTTAGGTTTTTCTAAGTAAAAGATCATGTTATATGTGAATTAGGCTAACCTGGCTTCCTCCTTTCCTATTTAGATGCCCTTTATTTCCTCTTCTTGCCTAATTGCTCTGGCTAGGACTTCTAGTACCATATAGAATTAAAAATGGTAAAAGTGGGAATATTTGCCTTCTTCCAGATCTTAGAGGAGAGGCTATCAGCTTGTCCCTATTGAGTATAAAATTAGTTGTGGGTTTGTCATATAGGGCCTTTACTATGCTGAAGTATGTTGCTTCTAGCCCTAGTTTGTGGAGAGTTTTTATTAAGAAGCGATGTTGAGTTTTACCAAATGCTTTCTCTGCATCTATTGAAATGATCATATGGTTTCTGTTCTTAATTCTGTTGATGCAGTATATCACATTTCTTGATTTCTGTATGACAAACCATTCTTGCATGCCTGGTATAAAACTCACTTGATCATGATGTATTGTTTTGATGCATTGTTAAATTTGGTTGCTACTATTTTTAACGACTTTTTTATTATTAATATTAAAAAATGTATTAAAAGCATGTTAAACTTAAAAAATTTACATACACTGAAATGATCTGATCTTTATCAAATTAATCAGTGGAATCCAAATGCAAATGATATGGCTATCAAGATACAGCAAGTTCCCTTTTTCACCCTCTCCCCAGCAGCCATTGGTCTGATGATTATCATGATAACATAGTTCTTCCTGTTTTAAAACTTCATACAAATACATTCACCTAATATGGCCTCCCTTGTGTCTGACTTTTTGTGCTTTGTGTCATACCTATGGGATCCATTCATGTTGTTGCATATATCAGTACTTAATTCATTTTTATTGCTGATAGTATTCCATTGTATGATTGAATCACATTTTTTTTTGTGCATTGGTAGGCGTTCCTGAATTTTTTTACTATTAAAAATAAAGGAACTATGGACATTCTTGTACAGAGATTCTTGGACATATTCTTCATTTCTCCTGAGTAAATACCTAGGAAAAGAAATGCTAGCCATAGAGTACTAGTCTGTTTAACTTTATTAGATAATACAAAACTGACTTTTAGAGTAGTTGTTTTATATTCCTATAGACAATAGATGAGAGTACAGATTGTTCTGCATCCTTGAGAACATATAGTTATTAATAGTTTTAATTTTAGTCATTCTAATAGATGTGTAGTGGTTTATCACTATGGTTTTATTAGCATTTTTCCCTGAAGACTATTGGCCATTCATATATCTTTTTTGTTATGTTTCAGAAGATTCCTCTAAAGATTGTGGAAGGAGCCAAATAAATGTGACTTCTCTTTCTCTAAGTGCTGTATCTAAAGCAGAATGTTCAGAACCCAACTGCACCTCCCAGTCTGGCCCACCCCACCCCACATTTATCCCTTGGATTCCCCACACCTTCATCTCTCTTTTATATTCTATATACTTCATTCTGTCTTCAGCTCATACTCCTCCAGAAAATCTATTACTGTGAAGGTCATTAACATGCTCAGTATTATCGTTTCTCCATCGGTCTTTACCTCTCTGGAGCTTCCCTTGCACTCAATAAACTCCTTTTTTATTTTGTTCAATTTCTATGGATTTATTTCATAAATTATATTATGAAGTAGTCTAACTGAAAGAAGGGTAGAGAATTATAAGAAATGCTTGTGAAGCCACCACCCCGGTTTGTCAATTTGTGACATTTTAATATTATTGGCTATATTTAATATACAAAGAAAATTATAGCAATATATGTTGGTAGCTCTGATTTTGCACAGTTCTGATATGCATGTCTTTCATCCAGTACTGTACTGAGCAAAGCAAGAACTGCTGGTGGCTGTGTGTCTCGAATTTGCTATATGCTTTTATATTTTTAATATGTTTTAGACAATCTCTGTTTGACATGTTTTTAGATTTTTTTTTTTCCACATAGGGTCTTGCTCTGTCACCAAGGCTGCAGTACAGTGTCACCAAGGCTGGAGTGTAGTGGCGCTGTCTCTGCTTACTGCAGCCTCGACCTCCCAGGCTTGAGCAATTCTTCCATCTCAGTCTCCCATGTAGCTGGGACTGTAGGTGCACACCACCATGACCAGCTAATTTTTGTATTTTTTGTAGAGATGAGATTTCGTCATGTTTCCTAGTCTGGTCCTGAACTCCTGGGCTTGAGCAATCTGCCCACCTTGGCCTCCCAAAGTACTAGGATTACAAGCATAAGCCACTGCTCCTGGCCTTGCATTTAGACTTTGTTTAAACCGTTTCTTGCTGATTTTTATCATTTGTTTGCTTGCTTTCTCAGTTAACATGGTCTGTGAGTCCATGTTCATACAAATAGTTCATTTGATTTCATTGCCAGATAGTATTGAATGGGAGAAATCTGCTACAATTTATCTCTTCCCTCTTCACTGACCTTTTGGTTGTCTCTATTACAGACATTGCTGCAATGAACATGCTGGGACATTGCCTTCTGTCCCAGGAATATGTGAGCTCCCCTAGAATACGCATGAAGGAGTGGAATCACTCCACCTTTCCCACATGATGCTACATGATGTCAAATTGTTCTCTGGAAGAAATAATCCAAATACCTATCAGGAGGGGGCTGGTTAGGAAGCACTGCATTCAAAAAAAGTAATCTCTATTAAAAAAAAAAGTATTTGCCATTGGTGTGCCAAGCCCTTGGAATCGCTGCCATGACTAAGGCGGATATGAATCCAAAGGCCTATCCCCTTGCTGACACCCACCTCACCAAGAAACTACTGGACCTTGTTCAGCAGTCATGTAGCTGTAAGCAGCTTCGGAAAGGAGCCAATGAGGCCACCAAAACCCTCAAGAGGGGCATCTCTGAGTTCATTGTGATGGCTGCAGATGCCGAGCCACTGGACATCATTCTTTACCTCCCGCTGCTGTGCGAAGACAAGAACATGCCCTATGTGTTTGTGCACTCCAAGCAGGCCCTGGGGAGAGCCTGTGGGGTCTCCAGGCCTGTCATCACCTGTTCTGTGACCATCAAAGAAGGCTCACAGCTGAAACAGCAGATCCAGTCCATTCAGCAGTCCATTGAAAGGCTTTTGGTCTAAACCTGTGGCCTCTGCCACGTGCTCCCTGCCAAATTCTCCCCTGAGGTGGTTGTGTATCATATTGTTTGTGTTAACATGTAGTAGTTTCAGCTATTCTCTATTGTTATAAAATGTTGTAGTACAAAAAAAAAAAAAAAAACTTTGCCAGCAAACTAAATTGCCATGTATGTACCTATGCAACAACCCTGCATGATCTATCTGCACATGTACCCCAGAACCTAAAGGGCAATAATATGTGTGTGTGTGTGTGTGTGTGTGTGTGTGTGTGTGTGTAATCTTTGCATATCTGTACAATGGAGTAACACAAAAATTTTGAACAAATAAAGATATACTGAAGCTCTTGATATTGCTTCATGGGATAGTCTCCATGATACAACGTGAAGAGAAAGCTTATGTGGTTTGCTAAAATTTGAGTGAAAAGGTAGAAGGAATATATACGTATACATTTGTATTTGCTTGCATATGCATAAAATGCCTTTGAAAGAATAAGCAAGGGACTGATATCAGTGGCTGCCTGTCAGAGGTGGGACTGGTTGAGAGACTTTTTTTAACCTTTTGAATTTTGAGTCAAGTCAAAACATAAAAAGTAATTCTAAAAAGGACAAAACAAACAAAACCAAATGCCTCAAATGAAAAACTTAAAAAAAACTCTGATGGAAATAATTCTTTTATCTTCCTTAAGATAAAAAGTTCTAAACATTGTATCACCACTTAAACAAGGATGTTTACTAGTTCTTTTTTTTTTTTTGAGACGGAGTTTCGCTCTTGTTACCCAGGCTGGAGTGCAATGGTGCGATCTCGGCTCACTGCAACCTCCGCCTCCTGGGTTCAGGCAATTCTCCTGCCTCAGCCTCCTGAGTAGCTGGGATTACAGGCACGTGCCACCATGCCCAGCTAATTTTTTGTATTTTTAGTAGAGACGGGGTTTCACCATGTTGACCAGGATGGTCTCGATCTCTTGACCTCGTGATCCACCCGCCTCGGCCTCCCAAAGTGCTGGGATTACAGGCTTGAGCCACCGTGCCCAGCCGTTTACTAGTACTTTAATTCAATATGCTGTTTTCTTTTTAATTGCACTATCTCTCTTTACATGTCTGACTTTCATTCATTAAAAGACAAAATCGGGCTGGGTGCGGTGGCTTAAGCCTGTAATCCCAGCACTTTGGGAGGCCGAGGCGGGTGGATCATGAGGTCAAGTGATCAAGACCATCCTGGTCAACATGGTGAAACCCCGTCTCTACTAAAAAATACAAAAAAATTAGCTGGGCATGGTGGCACGTGCCTGTAATCCCAGCTACTCAGGAGGCTGAGGCAGGAGAATTGCTTGAACCCAGGAGGCGGAGGTTGCGGTGAGCCGAGATCGTGCCATTGCACTCTGGCCTGGGTAACAAGAGCGAAACTCCGTCTCAAAAAAAAAAAAAAAAAAAAAAAAAAAAAAAAAAAAAAAAGACAAAATGACAGCATGAGTAATTAACAAATGCGCTTGGTGGGTGAAGGAAATTTTGGCCAAATCTTGGTGTAAATGATGAAGCCCAATCTACAAAGGATTCTCAGGGGTCCAACGTGGCAATTGTGGCTTCAGTGGGCTCAGAACGCCCTCTACTGTCCATGAGCTCTCAATGATGTGATATTTAGAAATGAAAACACTGATAATTCTTCTGAAGGACAAGATTGACTCCATTTGTTAAATTTTCAAGGTCATAATCACTAGCACATTCTAAGTCCTTGTCATACTAGATCACCGTGTATTTGGATCAGAAGGTACCACTGAGAGCTCCTAGGGTCACATCCCAGGTCAAGACAGCCAAAGGCAGTAGCATAAGCCTGGTCAGTTTGTGAGGGGTGGGAAGAACTGAGGGTGTGGGGGCCAGTTGTGGAGTGGCAGGCCCCCCAGGTGCTGTGTGAAGTCAAGCCTCTGGATGGCCTCTTGCCTCACATTCAGCCCCTTCCTGGGTTTCTGTCATTCCCAGGATGCCCAGGAAATCAAACGGGGCAGCTTTGGGGTGGGGAGCTCTCCAGGAAGGGCTAGGCATGAACTTATTGATACTACACCTCTGCCTCCCAGCCCTCTTCTCATACTAGAAATCAAACTAAATTGCCTTAGAGTGGTGGTTCTCAAAGTGGAGTCTTGGTACAAACAGCATTGGAATTACCCAGGAGCTTGTTAGAAATGCAGTTTTCGGGCCGGGCACGGTGGCTCAAGCCTGTAATCCCAGCACTTTGGGAGGCCGAGGCGGGTGGATCACGAGGTCAAGAGATTGAGACCATCCTGGTCAATATGGTAAAACCCCGTCTCTACTAAAAATACAAAAAATTAGCTGGGCATGGTGGCGCGTGCCTGTAATCCCAGCTACTGAGGAAGGAGACTAAGGCAGGAGAATTGCCTGAACCCAGGAGGCGGAGGTTGCAGTGAGCCAAGATCGCGCCATTGCACTCCAGCCTGGGTAACAGGAGCGAAACTCTGTCTCAAAAAAAAAAAAAAAAGAAAAGAAAAGAAAAAAATAAATGCAGTTTTCAAGTCCTGCCCCAGACCTACTGAATCAGAAACTGCATTTTAACAAGCCCCTTAGAGGAATTCTGCTTTTCAAACCAGCCCATCCCCCTCCCACCGACCCACCCACTCTCTTTCTCTCTCTCTCTCTCTCTCTGCCTCAAGACTCAATACTGAGCAGCTGTGACTTCTGGATACTCAGATGTGGGACACATTTCCTTGACAGGAATCACCTGACTCCTCAGTCAGCTTCATCTGAGTCCTGGCCTGGCCCAGGGAAAGAAATTCCTGTCTTGGATTCTGAGCAATGCTCTCCTGTTCTGGATGTCTGCCTTGGCTGGCAGCCTGTAATGGGCAGGTGCAGCTGGCACAGGGCACTGCCAGCCCAACAACTCAGAACTCAGAGCACTCTGGGCTCAGAAGTCTGAGCTACCGGGCTCAAGTGTGGCTCCAGTCACTGGCTGTGGACCCATTCCTAAGAACTGTCCAGGCTTGAGTCCTTCCCTCAACTACAGAAATGCAAACCCAACACTGACCTCATGGAGAGGTTCTGAAGATAGAGGAGAAGAAACATGAAAAGTTCCTGGTGGACACTGGGGACATGAGTGTGGGCTGGGTGACAATGCTAAGGCTCAGGAAAGCTAGGGGAGAGGGGCAGCTCCCCCTCCTGGGTCCATCTCCCCCAGGCCCTGTGAGGGTGGTGGAGGCTCTCTCCAGGCCCCAGTCTGGCCCCACCCCAGCATGTCTCCAGGTTTCTCAGCCCTGGTTCCTTTTGGCCCTGCAGTCACAGTGGGCAACACTGCAATGCACCCTGTCCTGTGTCACCGTGTTGCCCACTCAGGCTCACATTGCCCCTGGGCCACTTGCCAGCTGAGAGATGTGGCCACATTTTGTGCCTTCTGCACCTCAGCCTCGCTTTCAAGTGCAGGTGACGATGGTGCCCATGCAGAGGATGAAGATCCTCTCTTCATCCAGCCTAATTATCCAATTTTCCAACCCTCAATGGGCAAGGAAGAGTCTGGTTTCCTCCAGAAGGCATGATGTTCGCAGTCACGGGGCAACCAACAGGCAAAGACACTTGAAAATAGAACCAGCAGGGAAGCACAGGGACCTAGTGAGGGTGGGAAGCCTGCAGCTTTGGCTGCCTTTAAGTACATTAGAGAGATTACCGTTACTAACAACTTAGCCATTTTCAAAAAGCATACAAGTATGTTATGTATATATTATACACACATATGTATACATATATATTGTATACACATACATATACACATATATATATTGAGACTTAGTTTTGCTCTTGTTGCCCAGGCTGGAATGCAATGGTGAGATCTCAGCTCACTGCAACCTCTACCTGCTGGGTTCAAGCGATTCTCCTGCCTCAGCCTTCCAAATAGCCAGGACTACAGGTACCCACTACCATGCCTGGCTAATTTTATATTTTTATTAGAGACAGGGTTTCTCCATGTTAAACAGGCTGGTCTCAAACTCCTGACCTCAGGTGATTCTCCCACCTTGGCCTCCCAGAGTGCTGTGATTACAGGCATGAGCCACCGCTCCTGGCCTAATAGAATATATATATATATATATATATATATATATATATATATATATTGTATATTTTTGAGACGGAGTTTCGCTCTTGTTACCCAGGCTGGAGTGCAATGGCACGATCTCGGCTCACCGCAACCTCCGCCTCCTGGGTTCAGGCAATTCTCCTGCCTCAGCCTCCTGAGTAGCTGGGATTACAGGCACGTACCACCATGCCCAGCTAATTTTTTGCACTTTTAGTAGAGACGGGGTTTCACCATGTTGACCGGGATGGTCTCGATGATCTCTTGACCTTGTGATCCACCCACCTCGGCCTCCCAAAGTGCTGGGATTACAGGCTTGAGCCACCGCGCCCAGCCTAGAATATATATTTTTTAAATTTCCATCAATTCAAAACTGAGCACTGCAACTTCCAGTGAGCAACTGGGACAGACAGCATCATCAGGAAGGCAGCCCCTGCCGTGCCCCAATGCGCCAGTGCCCTGGATGGTGGCAGCCTCGCCAGAAGCACCTTGTACCTCATCTGCAGCAGGCCCAGTGTTCCAGCTCCCTACACACCTTCTCCTGCTTTTCCTTTTCTGTCCTTTCTATTTTTCAGTAAACCACCTGCAAAAAAGGAAAAACCACTCTAAGCACAAAAACATCTCAATGAGAAATCCACGGTTGCCAGAGGGTAAAAGGTGCTGTTCATTCACATTGAAAAGCTCGGGTATTTCTGTTACCCAGGCTGGAGTGCAATGGCGCGACCTCGGCTCACCGCAACCTCCGCCTCCTGGGTTCAGGCAATTCTCCTACCTCAGCCTCCTGAGTAGCTGGGATTACAGGCACGCGCCACCATGCCCAGCTAATTTTTATATTTTTAGTAGAGACGGGGTTTCACCATGTTGACCAGGATGGTCTCGATCTCTTGACCTCGTGATCCACCCGCCTCAGCCTCCCAAAGTGCTGGGATTACAGGCGTGAGCCACCGCACCCGGCTGCATTTTTCATTTCTGACAGCGTCAGGTGCATGGCCATGCAGATGAGCAGGTGGGGGACACAAGTGAGGCCCCAGAACTGCTCTCCTCTGTACATTCTTG